ATCTCATCACAATGGTTATGGTTATACAACAGTAATTAAGTTTGGGTGAGTTTTCCACCATTGTTCATCTACTGAGAACTTGGGGGTTTTGTGTAACTTGGGACTTTTCTTCCTTGTTCTGAAGCTTGTTCTTGACAACTCTAGGGAGAAGGAGGGGACCTGGGAACATGGCTGGGAAACACATTCTTGTTCTCGTCAACTCTGGAGGGAGGAGGGACTTGCCTTGTTCCCGGAGTCGACTCCTGGGGGAGGAGGAAAATGGGCTGAAGAGGGTGGGGGACAGGAGTGGGGGGGAACAGGTGAGGGCAGGGGAAAGAGGGCTGGGTTACAACATCCCAGCTGCTCCCATCACTGCCTGAGCTCTGCCTCCTGCCAGCTAAGTGGCCACATTAGATTCTTATAGGAGAGCAGGCCCTCCTGTAAGCGGCACATCCAAGGATGTGGGTCACCTGCTGCTTATGAGACACCAATGCCTGACAAGCTGAGGTGGAGATGTCAAGCTCCTGAGTCGTCCCCAAACCATCCCCTACCCCCACCCCTGGTCCATGATAAAACCGGTTTTCTTGAAACTGGTCCCTGGTGCCAGAAAGGTTGGGAGCCTCTGTTTTACTGTATCTGGAAAGATAAATGTCTTGCTGCAATTAGTTCATCACTCACTGAATACAGCGTGACTGATGCCCTGCAAAATGTCTCTGTAAGGCTCACTAGCTATGTATGTAAGCTTTTCACACTGTGGCTTTAAAAATTCTCTAATTTCTCAGTCTATGGTAAAGTTCCAAAAATTAAATATTTTACAACAGTGATTATTCTAAGCTTGACTGTTAACAAATGCTGGTCGGATTTTTCGAATTTTCTATAAAATAATAGCTGCCTATTTATGTCCATGGCACCAGCTCTCACTTTTCTGTTCATTAGCAGATAATTAATGAGAAAGTCATATTGATATTTCTAATTATTCTGCAAAAAGAACAAAGAGAGAGATTATGTGGTGGAAAAGCATGACAGACTTAGGTTTCCCATGGCAAGTTAGCAAACCTCTCTGTTACCCTGGTTTTCTGTTCTATGTATAGAAATAATATATGTACTTTGGAGAGTTACTTTCCACAAAGCACATATCTAATAAATGTAAGCACACAGTGGAAGAGGACGTCTTCTCTGTGTGGTTAGGAAAGCGTGTGTGAACTGTGTGAGAAGATTGAAAGGCACGGTCAAGGCCTAGTGAACCCCTTCATGTTATATGTACATTGTGTACATTTGGATATGAGTCCTTCTCGAGGCCAGCACATTTATTGAATGCTTTTTGCCTTTCCTTTTAGCTCCCAGCTCATGCTGTGAATCTTTTATAGCTTTTGATACACAGTAGCTAACCAATAATTTCCTTGACTGTTTCTACTGTACTCTGAGCTTGAAGACAAAGAATATTTTACTCATATCTATGTCTCTAATCCTTTTTACAAAGGCAGATGTGTTATGCATAATAGTTTTTTTGTTGTTGTTGTTTATAGCCCCCCTTCCTATTTTTCTATTTTTTTATAGAGACAGAGTTTTGCTCTTGCTGAGACTGGTCTCGAATTCCTGAGCTCAAGCCAGCCACGCACCTTGGCCTCCCGGAGTTCTAGGATTACAGAGGTGAGCCACTGCACCCAGCCCAACCTGAAATACTTATAAAATCACACCTAAAATAGAATTAATTTTTATTTTCTTACTATTCTCCACTCCCCAACATTTTGCTTCTCCTTCTTTTTTCCCCAACACTCATGAGTTCCAAACCATCTACATGTTTTCCCATAATAGAAGCTTGGAAGATACTTCTGACTCTTTCTTTGACCTCACCACATTTTATTAAATAGCATGTACTATATATTCTAGCTGCAGATCTCTATCATAGAGACTGGCTAGATTTTCAACAAATCCTTTTTTTTTCTCTCTCTATGACACAGCTATTCTATATTCACTAGCTTCCTTTGCAGTTATTTGAGGCATAGGATTTTGTTCTGACCAAGGGCATCCTGGGAAAAGTGATAGGCAGCTCTTCCAGTTATGGCTTGTACTAATCTCCAGGACTTTTTCTCTGCTTTGACCACTTTGGAATATCTAGTCACAGAAGACTGAACCACTAATTGGAAAGAAGATGGCCCCCTAAATCACTGCTTAGAGTAGAAGCAAGAATGCCTATTTTATACTTTATATGCGCTAAAAGAAAATTCTTAAGGGTTTTCCAACCCCACCAGTTACATTAGGCCAGCAGATAACAGTTAATCTATAGAGACCTCACTACTTAAAGGAAGGGTGCCATCATCATAAAATCTAACATATGTGGTATTGGCCTTCCAGGTAAGGAAACAGCTACTGAAAATAGAAATAAATAGACCCAGATATACTGGAAGTGTAGCTCAAGGTTTGGCAAGAACCAGATCATAAATATTTCAGGCTTTGGAAACCACAAGATCTTTGGGACAGCTACTCAACTCTGCTTTTGTAGCAGCCAAAAGGAAAAAGTAAACAAACAAGTATGAATATGTTGCCACAAAACTTTATTTATTTATTTATTTTGAGACAGAGTCTCACCATGTCACACTTGGTAGAATGCCATTGCGTCGCAGTTCACAGCAACCTCTAACTCTAGGCCTTAAGTGGTTCTCTTGCTTCAGCCTCCCAAGTAGCTGAGACTAAAGGCACTCACCACGACACCCGGCTAATTTTTCTGTTGC